CTACTCACTCCTCTTTGGGGGATTGTGATTTTGAATTGTGGACGGACGGTCCTTCATACCTCGCTGCACTCGCATCCGGATCCGCTGCGCTATTATATGACTCCACCACGACAAATGATCTCCCTGTGGAGGTACATCGTGCAGCAGCTGGCAGCCTCGCATGCTTATATGGGGCAGACTGCCTTGCGATCGAAAATGTTTTTAGACATCTCATACCTCCTTGTCTGGGAGCATCCCAATCGCCCACACGAATGCTGGAGGAAACGGACTCCCTCTCGGCAATTGAGGCACCTCGCGTTGCCCACCGACCGTGCGAGACCGCGTTACTGAGTAAATTTGGATTATGCTGCTTTCCTTGGTGACGCGAGGTCACCCTGTGGATTTTATATTTTCCCCTCACACTACGTTATTCCACGCAATGAGGCCGCTGACAAACAAGCCACGATTGCACGATCCCTCCCGCAGGACTGCGTCAATGCCTGGCACGTGGACTTCCTTACCGCCGTCAAGAGGTTATAACGGAAGGATGCCCAGGAGGAAAAGGACGGCGCGCACACCGCGTGACAGGCGCCTGTCGGTGTGGCGAGGACTCTATTCCTGGTGTTGACCCGGACATCGGTCCCCGAGTGGCGGCACTGCGCACAGGCGCGATGCGACACCTGTCCACTCTTCGACAGGCCTGCACGCGTCCTGCGGATCACAAGGAACCCTCTGTGTCGGTGGTGCCGTCCCTCACTGCGGTGACCGGCCCGCCTCTGCCTCCGCCGGAACCTCTTCCCGACGTGAACACCGCAACTCCTTGTCGACCAGCGAGCGGCGGATTGACGTCCTCCTGCCCAACCTGCGGCAGAGTGCGCTTGTCCGTCCACAGTATGAGGGCACATGCCGGACGTGCTCAGACTGGCGTTATAATAGTTTGCGAGGGCCTCCCATGCGGATGCCACAATGGCGCCACCGTCTTCTTAACAGGCGCCTCGCGCGCCGGTCGCCACCGAAGTTGCCAAGCATGCCGGAAGGCAAGACACGCAGGAAGCACAAACGCGGGTACTCGAGATGGACCAGGCTCTTCCGCCACCGCCTCATCACGGACGCCACGGGCTGCTGATCCCCGACGGACCACGGGAGACTCCGCCTCATCCACTGCGGGAATGCCCTCGTCGTTGGGAATCTGGACTGCGACTGTTTGTGACTGCCCCAGCCCGCACGACGGAATACTTGCCACTTTTGTACGGACGGCCCTTGCGCTACTCACTCGTTATTGTAGCAGCATACAACCGAAACAAGATAACAAGCTGCTTTGTGGTGAATATTGGCTGCACTTCCCGTGGACCAACAATCCGCGTGGTGTGCGGGGATCTTCTTTTTGTATTGTTACTTTGCTGTTGTGTTGCTGTGTGCGCTGCACCTTCTTGTGTGTGTGCGCACCCTCCGTGAGGGGTGCCGACACGACGGACCGCTCTCGCCGCATGTACATGCGGTGGAGCCTTGTGTGCCGCTCCTGTTTGCCTCTCCCTCCTCCACCTGTGTGTTGGTGCTGCGGCAGGGCTGTGTGTGTGCCTGCTGCCGTGGATTGGAGTGTGTGTTGTGCGTGGTGTGCGGCGCACGGTGCATGCCTGGCTGCTGCCCTCTCCTCATGTGGTGTGCCCTCTGTGTGTGTCTGCCGCACCTCTCGTCTCCCCTGTTGCTCTCCATTTCCCTCACTGTGCAGATCAGCTCCACACCACTGAACGACCACACTCACGATGATGACGTGCCGTCTGCTGTGCGCCCTGTTGGTGCTTGCCCTGTGCTGCTGCTGCCCGTCCGTGTGCGGGGCAGATTCTACGGAGGACATTATTGTTGTTGATCTTGAAGATGAAGAACAAGTCAGCGGTATACCGCCTCTTCCACAACAGCCACCAGTTGCCGATGACAAGGCTAATATTCAAGCTGTTGGAAATGACTCCGGTCAATCGCCCCTCCTATTAGAGAGAGCGCAGGGGAAAGGTCATTCAGATCCTTCAACGAGGCCCGTTGGAAAGTCGGGAAATGGTGGCGGTGAGGGATCAGGATCTAGCAGTACGGGAACGAATCCAAATGAGGTGTCCAATACGTTACAGGCAGGTGGTAATAAGGGTACGACAGGGTTACCCAGTGACAAGAGACTATCCGAAGAACCGGCAAATAGTGAGTCTGAAGATTCTACCGAGGAGACCACTACCACCACAACAAAGGCACCAAGCACGACCACCACCACTACAACACAGGCACCGAGTACTACGACTACAGAGGCGCCAACTACGACGACCACCCGCGCACCGTCACGTCTTCGCGAAATCGACGGCAGCCTCAGCAGCTCTGCGTGGGTGTGTGCCCCGCTGCTGCTCGCCGCATCCGCGCTGGCGTACACCGCTCTGGGCTGAAGAGGTGTGTGCGGGCTGTGCGTGCCAGCACTCAACCGCGGGGATTTGTGCGTGTGTTGTGGTCCACTGTATAAAATAAGAGAAAATAATGATCTTGTTTTGCTTCACTTGCTTCTGCTGCCGTGCTGTGTGCTCCGCGTTGTGCCCCGCATCCGTCACGTTGAACGCATCGCGGACACACTCATAAGCATGCGCACTGGAGCCCTGGGTTTGTTTTTCTTTTTTAATTATTGCTTTTTAATTTCTTTTTAAATTATTGTTTTTTAATTATTGTTTTTTATTGCTTTTTAAACTTGTGGTTTGCGGGGCGGTGTGCGAGCTCTGCAATCGTACTGATTCCATCTGTCTCGTGGTGTGTGCGCTGCTGCTGGGGTGCTGCCATTTGTTGCTGTGCGTGGTGTAGCAGCCGTGTCTATCTTTTTGCTTTTCACTCTGTTGATGTGGTGTTACTTTTGCTGAAGGCTGCACGTAAGAGACAGGAGTGGTGGCGATGATGACTGGCCGTGTGCTGCTGGTGTGTGCCCTCTGCGTGCTGTGGTGCGGTGCCGGCGGTAAATGTGACGAGGAGGTGGTGGAGATTCCTGCCGGTGGTGGTAAAGTTGCTGTGGGGTCGACTTGAACTTCAACGCCGGGATCAGATAGCTCAGATCCAACAAAAGGTTTGCCCAAGGTTAATCAAGCAACAGAAAAGTCTGAAGGAAAATCCTTGGAAGCAAAAGAAGTTAAAAATGATCAACTGTTTGTTGCTCCTGGAGTGGAGGGTGAAGATAGAAGCTCTTCAGAGCAATTAGAAGAACGTTTGAAAAATGCTCCAGAACAAGGAAAAACAAAGCCAGAAATACAAAATAAAGAACAGGAAGTAGGGCAACCTCCAAAAGCGCAATTAAATGTACTACAGCAACCGCAGCCACAACCGCAACAGTCACAACCGCCCTCAGCACCTCAGCCACACACTCCTGCTTCACAAAGGGTGAAGGTGTTGGCGAGAACAATACGGGTGGAGCAGGTCAGTCCTCATTGGGAACACAAGATATTGGAAACGAGGATCCAGAGAACCCCAGAGAAGAAGACTTATTAAAGAGTCCAGTTACAGAATCAGAAAACGGTGAACCGGTCCAAACGACAGTGCCAAACACAGTACCGCCGGAGCACAAAATCCAAAATGAAGTGTTAACTCCGGAACAAAAGACGAATGAAAGCCAAAGCACGGATACATCCACGAACCTACCCGAACCACAAAAGGAAAATAAGGAATATCCTGCCTCCACGGAAGGTACGGCGCAGAGTACATCAACTGGCAGTCAAGAACAAGAAAATGAGCCATCTACAAGCGAAGGACCTTCCCCTTTTGAGGAGGAACACTCCACAGGGACGAAGACATCTGAGGATGCTCGAACTCCGGATGCTGCAGCGACAGAAAAACGCCAAACTGGCGATAATGAAAAGGTTGGCGACAGCGACAGCAGCACCGCGGTCTCCCACACCACCTCCCCTCTTTTGCTTCTTCTTCTTCTTGTTGCTGTGTGTGCTGCTGCTGCTGCGGTGGTGGCCGCGTGAGAGTGAGGGAGAGAGAGCCGTGCACCGCCCGCACACACACTCTTCCTTCTCTCTCTGTGTGTGTATCCCCTTGCATGGACTCTCGCCCTCACCTCACCCCACGAAGCACACACATAATGTGCCCATTGTATATATGCATGCACACCCATGCAGGCCCGTTGGTGCTCTCTTTTGCAGCACACGCACCGCTGCCGTCCTGCCTGGCTGCATGGGCGGAGCACCGTAACTGTTTCTGTTTTGTTTTTATTGCATTGAGTGGGCGACCTCTCTCTCTCTCTGTGTGTGTGTGTTTTGCTTTACGGGAGCAATGAGAGTGTGTGTGCGCTGGTCGTCCCACGCGGCTTTTTGTTTTAGGTGTGGTGTGGTTGAGTGTACCCATTTCATTGCCCTTTATTTGATTTGTGGCTTGCTTTGACGGTGGACGCCTAAATTGTTTGCTTTTTGTGTATTTTTATACTGTTCCTTTATTGTTGAGAGAGTGTCAGCCTCTTGTATTCTTGTAGCGCCACTGAGTTTTTTTCTTTTACATACGCCATGCGTCAGTTGATGCACGTTACTCTGCGGCCTGCATTGCTTTTGGTTCTGCTTGTGATGATGCCTGCGATGTGACTTGTCGGCGGGTGTCTTGCTGTCAGTCTGACTTATCCTTCGTTCCTTGACGATTTGTTGCGTGCTGACGGTGCGTGGGCGTCTCTGGTGATAGTGAGGGCCGCGTGTCTCAGAGCGCAGGATGCGTCGCGGGTGTGCGGCGTCGTTTGGAAGTACCGATGGGTGACCATCCGCATCCAGGCGTCATCAACGGACTGTGAGGGCAGCAGGAGGCACTGCGGCTTCTTTTGGCTTTGCGCAAAGAGTTTATTGGACGGTGCGTTTGTTTTCAATCCTTTGCAGCTTTTGTGGGGAAGGTGGGAGGCTGAGTGCATCAGGACTGAATTCATTTGTGTGGCTGCCTTCCGTTGACTTGCGGCCAGTCGTGGCACTCTTTTGGGGTTTGGCTGCTCGTCTCTTTTGTTTACTTCCCACCGCAGCACGTGGAGGCCACTGATCCGAGGAACTTTTGTTTGACTGCATGTGAGCCGCTGACGTGCGTGGTGCATGGACTATGTGATTGTGTGGGGAGGTGCGTTGGGGTGACGACTACTTCTGTTTGGCGTGTCGCGGTGTGTCGGAATGATGTTCGGATGACATGTGAAGGGTGTTGTTTGTGATTTGTGTGTCTTTTCTGGTGGAGCCGACATGTGTGCGGGGATTGTGGCATTGCTGACTGACAGCTCCACGTCAATTTTCGGCATTCCTGGATGTGCTGAGGAATGACGGCTGGCGACCAGCGTGTTGGTGCTGCCGGTGGGAATAAGTGCATCGGGAATGGGCCGTTTTCTCATTTCCGTGCTGGAGCCGATGAACTGGCACGAGGGCACCGGCTGCAGGCTGCCTGCCAGCACGTGTGAGCAGCGGATGCATGCACACACCGACGCTCATCGCAAGAGCTTGTGCGATCACAGTGGCCTTTTGTAGCGTGCTTTTGTGAACGTCATTCCGTCGAAGAATGTGTGAAGCAAACGGCTGACTGCACAAGAGGAAAATAAGTGCGTGCACTGTGCCGTGTTTCAGCGTCGATGGCAGAGCGGCATGAGGCCCGTGCTGGCAACTGAGATCTTTGCGTCGCGAGGGATGTCGGTGCTGATTTTGGATTGTCGGGGGTGAAGTGATTTTGCTGCTGCCCGTGTGTGTGGCCACTCCGGCGGAGGGCGGACACAACAGGGAGGGATGCAGGCGCTGCGTGTGTGTGTGCAGGTGCCGTGCAACAACGTCACAACAAACATGCTGCGACTCGGTGACCCTCACATCGTTGTGGTCCTCACTCACAGCCCAGGCACGGTTCACACCGATGCACTTAGTGGACGGAGTGAGGCATCTTTTGAGGTGCTGCAGGGAACAGGATGTGTTGACGCAGCCACGACGTGCATGGAGTGTCACGATGGCACAGTGAGCTGTGGCTGGTGGAATATTTGCTTCTCGGAGGCAACAGAGAGAGAGAGAGAGCTGCTCCTGCTGTTGGCGTCGTTGCTGCCTCTTGTGGCCTCCCATGCCGATTATTGTCTGTCCGCTGATCATGGGTGGCATGCCTCCACTAGTGACGTCGTCTGCAGGCATTTCACAGCAGCAGTGAAACACACATCACGTCGCATGCTTTGGCTGTGGATATGGTGTCGTGATTGCTGCCGGCATTATTTTGCCCGACTCCTTTTCACTGTCTTGCGACAAATAGATGCGTCCCCGCCCGAGTCATTCACTGCAGCTCCGTGTGTTGTACTGCCAGCACAAGACTCTCCTGTTGTCTGGCGCCTGGCTGACAGTCAAACACCACTGCGTTGGGACATGCAAGGATGTGGACTGCCGCTCACGGTGTTGGGCACCGCTGTTTGGATGCGGCGGCCACACGAGCGGATGTATTGTGGCACAATCAAATGCGTGAAATATGCGGAGTCACGGCGGCTGCAATAATATCAGCGGTGTGGCACCACGGAGTATGTGAGGGGGTGATGCATGATGAATCACGGTGGGCGGCATGCGATGGAAGTGCACCGCGACGGAGCGTCATCCCGCCCTCAGCCTGCAGGGGAATGTACGCCCACAAAATATATGGTCGAGGCACCACCAAACACACATGCCCTTCCATGCAGCAATAAATAGGAGCGAAGGTGCGTTCTGGTTTGTGGGGGTCCTCTCACATATTTTCATCTCCACCGCAATCAACGCTGAGGAATCAGGTGCCACAGCAACGAAAGGAAACACAAACATCTATTGCAGCACCTTACCAGCGAAAGGCAGGAACAACACAAACCGAATTATTGGCTGCACCAACACAAGAAACATTCACAAGAGGAAACAAATAATTGTGCACCTTGCGGAAATTCTTGAAACACACGATCCAGGCATGGAGGTTTGTCCTCTGCGAAAAGAAACCAACATATGCAGACATCCGCCAACATCCGAACAGAAACACAAATAAATGATTGCTTGCATTATTGCATTCCTTGCGCTTATTTTTGCGCGTGCGGCTGCTGCGGTGGTGGCCGTGCCTGCATGAAGTGGTCTGCGATGAATGTGGACGAAGGCCGAAGGCAACTGAACTGTTTTTGTGATGAATATTGGCTGCACTTCCCGTGGACCAACAATCCGCGTGGTGTGCGGGGATCTCCTTTTTTATTGTTACTTTGCTTTTGTGTTGCTGTGTGCGCTGCATCTCCTCGTGTGTGTGTGCGCACCCTCCGTGAGGGGCGCTGACACGACGGACCGCTCTCGCCGCATGTGCATGCGGTGGAGCCTTGTGTGCCGCTCCTGTTTGCTTCTCCCTCCTCCATCTGTGTTGGTGTTGCGGCAGGGCTGTGTGTGTGTGTGCCTGCTGCCGTGGATTGGAGTGTGTGTCGTGCGTGGTGTGC